TTTTTTGAATTCCCATATACTTGTATTTTGATTGGTCATTCCAGCTTATGTAACAACGTTTCCCCTAGCGAGGGATATTTGATTGATTTGAACCTTTTAAAACCTTTTATTCTACATTCAACAACAACTCTTGAGAAGACACTAGAAGTGTTGAAACAAAATGGCTATTTTGTAGTGATTTTATAACATATTTATGTTATAATTTTTTAAATAAATAATTATATATATATATATATATATATATATATATATATATATATATATATATTAATAATAATAAATATACATAAATAAAATGAATCAAAATATATTGTTCTACCTACAGTCTATCTCAATTTCAATTGAAAAGTATTTAGCTAAACTCAACATAAAATTTATTACAAATGCGTCTAAAACAATGAAATACTTACTTAATACATAATAATTTTGGGTTATAATGTGTATGTGTGTGTGTACATATATATATATATATATATATATATATATATGTTCAATTGGTGATTTTTATTTATTAAGCATTTTGTGGGATGGACAATTATGCAGTTACCTCCGATATATATATATATATATATATATATATATATATATATATATAGTAAAATTTCCCAGAATAATTTAATCGGTGAGACAAATTGGTATAAGAAATGGCAATTGGAAAACATTCCAGTTTTTTAACGACGCGTTTCGTCTTCCAACTTTATCACTTTATTTTGCAACTACCATTTATAACAATAAAAACGAAATGTTTTCTTGTCATAGTTACATTCAATCCTAAATTTTGGCTTTAATGTAACTATGACAACAACAAAAATTCACACACACACACACACACACACACACATATATATATATATATATATATGGAGAGAGAGAGAAAGAGAGAGTTCTCCTGTTCAACTTCTTTGCCGCTAGAGAACGTTTACCTTAATAAACGGTAAATATTGGTCTATGTGTTATCGCTTCTATTCTTTAACCAATGAGCGAAGCCTATAAATACAATTGGTTTTGATTTATCCGAAAAGAAATCAAATCTGCCGAGAGGTCGAATTTTGTTGAGTTTAGGGCGAGGATTGAACTTACGACCAAGTCGATAAGAGCAACTGGCTAACCACCGAGGTAAGGCAATTCTGAAGACATAAATGACAATTCAGGCGACAATATCAGTAACATAACTGATGTCGACAGTGTTTAGGGCAGTGGTTGTCTGGGAAAGCATGGCTTAGATGTCGTTTTTGTTCATTGTTTAGATTTTCAAGGCCATTTGTTTTTATGTCTACCGTCGAAGCAAACGTAATTTGTTGAATGTCGGACGCATATTTTGATTGGAGTATATCGATATATATAAAAAAAAAAGAAAGAAGAAATGGCTGTTCATAATGGCGGCAAGGCTCGTCTGACTTGGTCTTAATCGAGTTTATGAATACGCAGTTCTCGCGCGCTCACGCCTAATCTCGTTTTGTGTCGACATATTTGGTTGCATTCAGCGCTATAACTTTTTCTTTATTCATTTTTTTTTTCATTTCAACTTACCGTATTTTGATGCAAAACGCAACCAAATGTTACAGTAAATGATCCGTAAAAATGTTTGTCTTTCTGTCCAAATGTCGTATTAGTAGTTACGCAGGTATTATTATTATTACTAATAGTTCATATCATAATGTTAGATTTATTTTAGTTATTGTAAAATTTATTGTTCGTGTTACTTTTGAGATAAGATTAGCGGCGTAAGAATGGACGGAAAGTTTATTTCAAATACAAATTTGCAAGAAGTATATATATATATATATTGAACGGCACGGTTTATGGTTATACGTGAGGAACTAGTATAATTGGTAATTACTAAGTTTGATTCTTACTGAGCGTCCAAATACTGTGGCGTGGGGTAAAAAATGAAGCTACTCTTAGTAATTTTCAAAATTCTTATAAGCGTATGCCCGTAATTTATCCAGAAACAAGAGTAACTGCCGATTTCACTTATCTATCTACTTGAATACCCACGGACTAGTTTCGTTAATTAAGGAGTTCACGTTGTTAAAACGATAGTAAATTTTAAAAGGTGCGGTTCACAATTGTCTTACGGCCGAATATTTAGCATTTTTTTAATTTACCTAAGGTTGAAAATAGACAGTCTCAGGATTTCGAAAATGTTTTAAGTTTCTATAAACTCCAATTATTCTTTACGTAGCAGTGAACTGCCCCGCGTTGGAACAATGAGTATGTATTCATGGCGTTGTGCTTTCTGTAGAGTCAGTGAAAATATTTATTAAGGCGAGGCGAGGCGTATAAATACATATATATAAATTATATATATATATATATATATATATATATATATATATATATATATATATATATATATATATATATATATATATATATATATATATATATATATATATATATATATATATATATATATATATATATATATATATAAATATTATATATAATATAATATATTATTCACCAATGCCCCAAGGAGATGGGTTATTTCCTCGATTCGCCATCTATAAAATGATTGCCAACCAAGAGTATAGAATCCAGTTTGTTATATTTAACCCATACTTGAGGGGTAGAAGAGATGGATACATTCATTTCTTAAAGGTATTGGTGCGTAAGTGAATGCAACGAACTCGGCTGAAATTCGAACTCGGTTCTGACATTTCTAATTCTGAGCCTCACTCCATTATACCACACGCACCTCCACAAGTAAAACAACAAAAGTAGGTCTGCTTATTGAGAAATACTATTTTTTCGATAACAACCAGACCCTAAGTCTTTACAAATAACACGATTGAATATACCGAGATCAATAAGTATTTTCATCAAATCATTTAATAAATTAACAGCAGAAATAAAACCTTCGTGAACATAAGAACTATGGCAAAACATTTTCTCTTTCTTGATTTTTTGTCATGTTCACTGTTTTTTAAGTCGCTTTTGATACTCCAGCATTATCATGTCCAATGGAATAGGTGCATTCAATTAGGATGTCTTTAATTGGAGTTTCTTTCCAACTGTGAAAAAAAAATGCTCTCAATGTGCTTGGTTTCCTTCCGTAGTGAAGAGATAAAAGTGATAGGATAAATTTATGAATATCAAACAGAAGATTTTAGGGTTTCATTTTATTGATGTCACCTTAATTATCAGGTTTACTAAAGTGTATTACTGATAAAGTTTATCAGTTAATTTGAATTTTGGCGATAAATGGAAAAAATTCGGTACTTCTGTTTTAAAATTTTTGACTCAAAAACACTTTTTCCTTATAAAAATAGTTTATTTCAGGTGACTGATATAAACTGCTCGGCCTACCTGAAAATTGATGGGTTTCTACGACCTTTATTAACTAAATTGATCTTTTTCCCCAAAAAATGAGCAATTTCAGTACAGCAAAAAAAAAAAAAAGTGTTATTCTTTACTTAACGGAGAACTGCCCCGCGTTGTGACAATGGCGTTGCGCTTTCTACACAGTCAGTGAAAATATTTATTGAGGCGAGGCGTTGTGAAATCTATAGTCTCCACTGACTTCAAATAATAATAATAAACATTATTTTAAAAGCGCGTCCCCTAGATCAGTGGTTAGTCAACCCACTTGTCAGAATAATAAGTTCCGTACTAATTTAGAATGCGAACTACCACAGTTTCTACGCTGGGGGAAAATCTTTAGTGTGTGGACAATATCTGCATATGCGTAGATATTTAGTACCCTTTAATAGACTGTATCATCATCGCATTCAGTGAGAAATAAACTCACTATCAAGGCTCTGTGAGATATGTTTTGCGAGCCATAGGTCTAAAGTGGGCGCTTAAATTATATAGATATTCACTATTCTGAATATCTGTTCATATTTCTGAGATGAGATATTGTAAGTATTGACTTTATTTACATTGTTCAAACTCTTGTCCTCAGCTTTATTCTCATATTTATGACGTTTCGACCATTGTACGGCCCGGCCTTCTTCAGGATCTCTATATTTCTGCGATGAGGTATTATAACTAAAGTGGGCGCTTAAATTATACAGATATTCACTATTCTGAATATCTGTTCATATTTCTGAGATGAGATATTGTAAGTATTGACTCTATTTACATTGTTCGGACTCCTGTCCTCATCTTTATTGTCATATTTACGACGTTTCGGCCATTGTACGCTCCGGCTTTCTTCAGTCTCAGGATTTTGGGCATGGTTTAAATTTCTACTAACACTAATTATTTGTCAAGTTATAGTCGTTTGAATTTAATCAGAACTAGCACATGTTTAAATTGTTACGCTATCTTGTGTGGGGCAGTAATTCTTAGTTCTGGAGTCTCTTTCTCTCAGATGCAAATGGTAAAAATAAAAAGGAAAGGCCTAAAGGTGAAGGTATATTCTTGCTCTGTCCTGGACATTTAGTTCTACCTGGGTTATATACGCTTAGAAATTTATATATATATATAGTTATATTTTAAAAAAATATGATTCCTTCGCTACATAAGAGTTCTCATGTTTCAAAAACGAGAGCCAAATCCTTCAATATCATTCTTAAAATTAAATTGAATTAAAGTAACAAGCCTTGTTTCGTCCTCAAGCGAAAATTTAGGAATAACCAATCTTGAAATTTACGCATCTTTATAAGCATGTTCATTCGTTACTATGGAAACGGCTGGGGGTGACCATTTTTGATAAGGGGCCTAAGAGTTAATTTTTATCCACATATCAGTCACCTTCGGGAAGAGGTCAAGCTGGGGTAGGGTGGGGTGTCTATTTCAAAGCAAATGATGGCATTCATGTACGCGCATGGTCTGGTCAGTCACAGAGAAAGATAGATTTTGACACCATGATATGTTGTTAAGTGTTGCAATCGTCAGCAAGCTGGACTTCAAGATCATTAGCAAGGATTTTGATCCATACATGGCGACAGATACGTTCCGTAAAAAGCAACAAAAAAAAATATGAAGTGTGAACAGCACTTTCGTGAAAAAAAAAACTCCAAAAACGGTTTCATCAACTGTGCATCCAATTAAGAGAAAGGTAAAGAAACAAAGAAAGAAAGAAAGAGAAAAGAAGATAGACAGATATGAAGAGTCTGAGACAGACAGATAGATAGATAGATAGAGAGATAGATAGATAGGCAGATATGAAGAGGCTTAGATAGATAGATAGATATGAAGAGGCAGAGACAGATAGATAGATATGAAAAGGCTGAGATAGATAGATAAAAAATACGTCGTGATAGATACATATATAGATAGATAGATATGTACAGACTGTGATAGGTAGATATGAACAGGCTGAGATAGGTATAAAGACGTTGTGATAGATAGATAGATAGATAGATAGATAGATAGATAGATAGATAGATAGATAGATAGATAGATATGAAGAGGTTGTGATAGATAGATAGATATGAAGAGGTTGTGATAGATAGATAGATAGATAGATAGATAGATAGATAGAAAATAAGCAGACAGTGATAGATTGATAGATAGAAAATAAACAGGCAACGATAGATAGATAGATAGATAGATAGATATGAAGAGGTTGTGATAGATAGATAGATAGATAGATAGATAGAAAAAATAAAAGCAGATATAGGCAATGAACCAAAGAAACGTAAGATGAAAGAACTAAAGAAAAGGAAAATAACGGAAGAAAGAAATGAAAGAAAAATATAAAGAGGAAAGTAATGAAAAAGAAGGAAATGAAAGAATTGGAAGTTAATGAAAGAAAGAAAGAAAGAAAGAAAGAAAGCAAGCAAGAAAGAAACATGAAAGAAATCAAGAAAGCAAGCAAGCAAGAAAGAAAGAAAGAAAGAAAGAAAGAAAGAAAGAAAGAAAGAAACATGAAAGAAATCAAGAAAGAAAAAAAAGAAAGAAAGAAACATGAAAGAAATCAAGAAAGCAAACAAGAAAGAAAAAAGAAAGAAAGAAAGAAAAAAAGAAAGAAAGAAAAATGAAAGAAATCAAGAAAGCAAGCAAGAAAGAAAAGAAGAAGAGGAAGTCGTTTATCGCTCGCAAATAGAGTAAATATGTAAAATTTGACGAAAAACTTGGTAGATACTTATGCAGCTTAAACTTTAGCTTGTGAAATGAACATTTTAAAACGCCACGACTGATACCCACAATGCAATGTAGACTTCCAAGAAGTTTTCGGTAAGTCAACAGGGAACAACAACAACAACAACAACAACAAAAAAAAAAAAAAAGGCCAAGCAACCGCGTGTTTTTGGCGAGAGCGCACAGTGCCTGTCGTTACGCTTGATAGCATCCTGTCAAAATGCATTTACAACTTGGGTCTGTCCCTAAAGTGGCCGTCTGGGTTCGGAAAAAGGTGCACCGGCTTGAGAATTGGTCGGCTGCCGAAGTTCCCACTTCAGAGTTGTGTCTCGACAAGCGGATATTCAAGATCGGCGCCACTCTGGGAACTGAAATATGAAAGACGTTTTCCTCTGGAGAACTCTTACTTGTAAAAGACTCGACAGAAACTCTCTCTCTCTCTCTCTCTCTGTATTTACAAGTGTTCATGAATGTACATTTAAAACAAAGCGAGTGTCTCAATTACTAAATATGTATACCTCTTGAGTATAGAATATTTTACTGGCATTCATAGGTCAGGTACTGAAAACACACACATACACATGCGCGCGCGCACACCTGTCTCTCTGTTAACGGACCTCTAGTTGAAATGGCTGAACATTTATATAAAAAGTCCGTTAAATCTGAATATAACAGAGGAAGCCATTTTGCAATACTTTTTGAAAAGTAAATAAAACCACATTTCGATATACAAGGGCGGTGCAAAAGTAGGTATACAGAAATGAAAAACAAAAAGTGCCCACAAAACGTAATGTACTTGGAAAGTGCCTGAAAACCATACCAAGGGTTTCCACAAGCCTTGTGAGTGAAACTGGGTAGACGGAACCCTTGGGGGCCGTCGATAGCTGTGTTAGCACGAAGTCACAAGTCATCGTGACCGAGGACTCGAGTGTGCTGGTCATGTTCAAATTGTTGATCACGCCAGATAACACGCTCTCTCCCAGAAACTGTAACTAAGGTCTGCTCCGCATAGTTGCAGTATAAACCACAGGTGGGCTCCGGGGGTGTTGAACAGACACAAATGCGCCTGAGCGAGCGTCTGCAATAGGGATTGGCTAGTCGCCCTAATAGACGGGTATCCTCGAATATGAGTGGCCAGCTATATATATTTTCTTTACTGTATACCTACATTTGCATGATTATTAGAATATAATTAAAATAGGTAATAATCATTAATGTTTTTGGCGGAGTATTTCGAAAAGCCAAGCGAAGTATTAAGAAATCGACTGCCATTGGTATCATAGATTCAATGCGAACGAGCCTTTCTTTATCTATATAGTATGAACTTCACCAGGACTATATACAGTTTTTTTTTTAATTGACAGTTTTCCTATCCTAGACCTAGTTGCCATCCAAGGCTATTTGTCTGTTTACTATTTACTCATAGCTGGGGGGGGGGAGAAGACTTGAATTCATACCGTTCCCAAGGGTATTAACACTTAAGTGAATAGAATGAACGTGATTGGAATTCGAACTCAGCACTCCGATTCCTCAATCCGAGCTGCAATCCGATACTCTATGTTACCTTTAAGTTTGTTAAAAACAAAGAAAAGAGTGCTGAACTGTTATATAATACCAATCCTCCTATGTGTCAGTGAATACTTAACAATTTCCTCACAAATGAAGAGAAAACTTAAAGCAAAAGAAATATTGTTCTGTAGGAGAAAGCTGAGGGTACCATAGACGGAACATCTTTTATTCTCTTCTTCCTTAAATCTCGTTACGCCCATGTTCCGTCTATGATATTCTCAGTACCTTTCTATAGAACCGCATTTCTGTTGCATCAAGTCTTCTCTTCATTTGTGAGAAAATTATCAAGCATTCACTGCTATATAGAAAGATTGATATTGTACAACAGATCAGCACTCGGGAAAGTTTTAAGGAAAAAAAAAGAGAACAAAAAGACACTTCTACTTAGAATTAAAAGCAGACTTTCACTGGTCAACAAAAGAAAATTTTTAAAAATGGTGTCGAGACACCAAACCTCTTTTTTAAAAACTAATTTGAAGGCGCTGAATCTGAAAATGACCTTACGTTTTTTTGGTTAGCTATCGTTTTTGCTGTACAGAAATGCCTCATTTTTGGAAAAAAAGCATTTTTTTTCATTTTTTTTCTGAATATATGATATTGACCAATGGCAATATTTCTCAAAATAAAAACGTAGAAACCTCTCAATTCGTATTTAAACCAATAAATGTCTGCTTATTGAGAAATACTATTTTTGGAATTAGAATCAGACCCTAAGTCTTTAAAATCAACATGATTGAATATACCAACAATTATTTTCTTCATATCATTTAATAAATTAACAGCAGAAATAAATCCTTCGTGAACATAAGTATGGTATTTTTTTTCTTTCTTGATTGTCATGTTCAATGTTATTTAAGTCTCTTTTGTTACTCCAACATTATCATGTCCAATGGAATTGGTGCATTCAATTGAGATGTCTTTAGTTGGAGTTTCTTTCCAACTGTAAAAACAAAATGCTCTCAATGTGCTTGGGTTCCTTCCGTAGTGAAGGGTTAAAAGTGATAGGATAAATTTATGAATAACAAACAGAAGATTTTAGGGTTTCATTTTTATTATCAGGTTAACTAAAATGTATTATTGATAAAGCTTATCAATTAATTTGAATTTTGGCGATAAATTGGAAAAAATCGGTACATCTATTTTAAAATTTTTGACTTAAAAACACTTTTTCCTTATAAAAATACTTTATTTCTGGTGACTGATATAAACTGCTCGGCCTACCTGAAAATTGATGGGTTTCTACGACCTTTATTAACTAAATTTTGCAACCAACCGAGATTGTAAATCGCTTTTTTTTCCCAAAAATTAGTAATTTCAGTACAGCAAAAACGGTAACTAACCATGCAAAACTAAGGTCATTTTCGGAATCAGCACGATCAAATTAGCTAAAAAACGTGTTTTGTTTCTTGGCACCAAAAACTGTGTTGACCAGTGTTTTAGGTCACCTAATGAGGAAAGATGGCTTAGAGAATTCGACACTCATAAGACATAGTGAAGGCAAGAGTGCCAGAGGAAAACAGGAAGTAACCTATCTAACGAATTTGTTTAAATGGATGACAGAACAAGGCCTGGGAGGGATAGTAGGAGACCAAGATTTACAAGGTATAGGAAGTAGTGGAGAACTATGATCATACAACACCCGAACGGGACATAGCATATAAAATACGTTCAGTGTTTCTTTTTTATGATTACCGAAAATCTTAAATAACAATTGACCACGTGGTTCTCATTATCTTGGTTTATTTTTTGGAGAAAAATAAAATCCTTACCGTAAAAGGGGGTCTGATTTAATGGATAGCGCCGCGAAAAGAGAAATCTATGAACTGAAATCGAATCCCAGCCGAAGTAGTTACGTTCACTTGGGAGAGGTATGAATGCATCTCTTCTGTTCCCAGGTATGGGTTAAATAGCAGGACAGACTGCGCTCTAAAACCTTCGCTGGCAACCAGTCTACAGATGGTAATTCGATAAAATCTCCCAGTGAGCAAAGGACACTCATTGGGATGCACATGTAATGCTGGTGTTAATAAAACAGTGCTCGATATAATAAAACAGTGCTATTATGTATATATATATATATATATATATATATATATATATATATATATATATATATAGCTTAATACTGCCCGCCAAAAGTGTAAATATTAAATTCATTTTTCGTTTCACCTTTTGAAAGTGAAGTCTGAAGATCCAGAGAAAAATAAAATTCTCTGGTGAAATAAATTATTACAAATGGACCCTTAAAGTGGTCTGTTTTTCCTTAAATTAAATAATTCGCTCTGATTTAACATTGAGCTCTCAGGATTTCATTCATTCTCCTTCAGGTCATCCATACGGATTACCAAGATTTTCGTTACTCATATCTCTCTCTCTCTGTATATATATATATATATATATATATATATATATATATATATATATATATAATAAAGAGAGAAACTGCAAACGTTTTGGTTGTCATGTGGATTTTTAAAAAATATATATTATACTTTATTTTCCATAATTTTGCTACACGGGTTTCCAGTCACGTGAGCTTCTTCAGGCAAAGAGTGGATATTTTTTTTTGGTAGTATTGACACAAATATCTCTCTTAAAGTCCTTCTGTTTAAAGGGTAATAAAAAAAATTAAGCTTGGTCCGAGAAATGGCGAGGAAAGATATCTATATATTTTGTAGTTACCCCTGTATGTTTCTAGATATATTTCCATTTTTGTGTATTGTGTGTGCGTTTTTGCTAGTACTCCGTCCATACATACATACTGTCTTATAAGGAATTAGTATACACACACACACACACACACACACACACACACATATGTATTTATATATATACACCCACAAACATATACATACATACACACTCACACATCCACACACACACGCACACACAGACAGATATATACACATATACACACTTCCTATGTTGTGTAGGGTTCGTGTGTGTGTGCCTGTGAGTAGTCTATTTGTTTTTGTCAGTATGTGTATATATATATGCTCCATAGATACCTGCGTGTGAGTGTGTGCTTTCGGTCTTGTGCCACATCTAAGGTACGCTTAGAAATCACCACGTCATTAATTGGCACAACGACTTCATTACGCAGGAACAAGGCCGACTACTTGAAAATCCTTGTAAAATATGACTCGTCTGATCAAATGACGTACCCCTAATCTTCTACTGTCCAAGGGCGTTGAAGTCAGGACATGCTGAAGTGCAGTGATCGGTCCTGTGATATAAATAATGGACCCTCAAGTCGATG